CTCCAAGTAAATAAACATCCGCGAAATTCACCCGCACTGAAATAACAGTTTGGCGTGTTGGATAATAAATAACTTATTGGACGTTAGTTGTGTAGTATCGCTGAGTACTTTTACTCGTTATTTGTATTTTGACTCGCCCTATGGGCTCGTCAAAATACAGCACAACTCGTAAAAATACTCAGCGATACTACGCAACAAAACGTCTAATAAGATATAGTTATTCAAAAGCGCAGGTTTTTTTCTTCTTCAATTGACAGGTGTCACAAGGTGACAGTTACTTGCTCAAAAATGTTTCAAAGTTTGCTATGAAGCCTTTTCAGCCGAGTTACATTTACAAATTAAAATATTTCGGTTAAAGCTTTCTCTTTAATTTGAATAACGTCTGTATTCCTTATTATCCACTCGCTAACAAATTGTTAAGTTTATGGAGGATTTTCCCGTAATTAAACTTGTAATTGTAGCCCTAAATCATTCGGGTTCTTTTGGCAATCCTTTTGCTATGTGTTAGAAAAAAATTAAAATGTTATTTACCGCCCGAGGCCTACGGCCTCGGGCGGTACTCAAGACCGAGGGCACAGTTTGTGTGTTTTGGAGTTGTCAGTCTTTCCAATTCGATCTGGAAACAGTGGACAAAAAGAGCCACCCAGTGGAATGTCCATTGCTAAATTATTATCATTATTTTAAATAAGATAAGAATTTTTTTTAGAAAAACCGATTGTCATAACATGACTTAAAGCACCATTATGTATAAGTTCCACTAGGAGCCCATGGGCCCCTGGTTCCACCAAGTAGTGGTTAACGATTTCATTGAAGTGATATTTTATAAGCGCTACCCTTGGCACAAGTAGATACCTGGTATATAACGACAAAGTGAAGAATATAAACACAATTTATTAAACAATGATGTCAATTCTGATCGGCAACCAAGATTGATTAAATGACAAGAACACAGACATTAGTGATTTCCGCTGTCATGTTCAACCTCATCCAATAAATGCTAATTAGATGCTGGAAGCACTCTCGAACATGAATATCGCATCCTACATTCAAACAAACTGACCTGGCTCTCATTAAATTTGCGCCATAAGATTAATCTTCCATCAGCGGCTTTAATAACTACCTTTGTTGTCTTTAAATATAAAATTTACTATATCCAATAAACAAACTTTTTATACGTAACATGCTGCCGGCACTCACTTAACATTTCATCAACTGTGTGAGGTAGAACAGAGTCCATTTCTTCCTGAGTAGCAACCTGATGATGGTCCTTGAGCAAGATTAAGCTGCAGTCACAAATAACCGGGATTACACACATGCGTTTGACCTGATGCTACACAATTCAAATTACGTTAAAAGTTACCAATTTTTAAAATCTTTTGTAATAAAACAATACTGACCAACTATCCCTAACCCTTCCAAGTATTTTCTTCATGGACACAAAAAGTGTTTGCCTGAATGGAGCACACGCTATATTTAAATTATTGGGAAGAAAATCTTTCAGAAGCCTTTGTTCCATCGTTGAAAGAGGTTCTACATGTGAAATCAAACAATAACTGACTTCAGCAGAGGGCAGTATGATTAAAAACTTTTCATGTTAATCAGAGCACAACAAGAATAAAATATACCACAAAGGTCAAGACTGCTTTTCGCGCGTACTGATTGGCCGGTTCGGAAGTGAATAGCAAGCACTATTCACCTATACAACACCGCTCGCCAAGATTTAAAGTTCCGATTATTTTTCAGTATACTGATAAAAATAAACTCGGTTTCTGTGTGGTACAAACGAGACAATTATTCACCTCAGTATTGGTGAAAGTGGTTGCAGCTCGGTAAACATCCACCACTATTCACCTCCAATTCGGTAAACAACTGTCACTTAATCACTCGAAGACAAATATAAGCCTTTATCCCTTATCTCTTTGATAATTATAATAAAGGTTTTCATCTCTTAAAAAATAGGTAAGAGAGTGAAAAGGTCATTTAGCATAGGATAGTCTTAAAAAACATGAAGAGTTACATGATCCACAGGCTTTAAACCCAATTAAGTTTTTCCAGTTGATCGAAGGCCCTAACCCACATTTCAATATTAGTACAGGTTTCTTCACACCTTTGATCAAAAGCCTTCAAGGATGATTTTCTCTTTCTTTTTAGAGCATCCATTTATCAAATTATAAACAAAAAGAATTGAATTGACGTTTTTTAAAGTTTTCAGATCTGAAGTAAGATTTCACGCTGACCCTGGGTTATTTTAACCCAGCTTTGAACAACCGGGTCATGGTGTTTAGTTTGATGATGACCAGCCCGAGATCCTGGGCCAAAGTCTCAAAGGGATGAAGTCCACAGTGGTGCGGAGTAGAAATTGAACCCATTTTGCAGTTTGATATTACCGCAATGATTCGACTTAGCGTCCGGGGTGCTTATTTACCTATTGTACCTGTAGAAAGGGCGCTTACTCAAATGTGCGAAACGAAAAGCTTTGACGTATATCAAAAAAGGAACAATGCGGAAAATGTAAAAGTAACAAATATGCGGTAAATATTTGCATAATAGTGTTAGGGAACATTCACTAGCAGTGCTATCACTGAAACAGAATAAGGATCCTTATTGCAATAGGGGCGCTTATTGGAACAAAGGTACCGACGAAATAGGGGCGCTTATTAACAAAAAGAAATCGAGTCATTACGCTAATCAAGTAACACATTTCCATAAACGTGCCACCACCTTACAATCAAGAAATACAATCAAGAAAAGGCTGTTCTTCTTCGCCAAAGAATTCCTTTACTGTTTACGTTGTTCCCGGCATAAGGTGCATGTAGTGTTATCACAGATTATCCAGGAAAGCATATTGCATGATAAGTTTGTATCTCGCATGTACCTGCTGTCTTTGGCGTGAAACTGATGACGGACAGGGCAGTAGCTCTAATGTCGTTATGTAAGTGAGTCAGACCTTCACTGAGAGAATTCTCTTCCTGAGAAAACCATAAACAGTCAATCAATAATTCAATTTACCAATTTTAATGGATCATTTTTGTAACGCTAACTCAACAAAGGAATAATTGAAAGTTTCCTAGAATTTCATGCTGTATCACCATTGCCTCCTTACTCTTGTTGTGACGGAGTCTTCGGTGCGTGGGATTAGAAAGAGTGAAGAGTTTGACAAGGGGATAAGTCCCTTCCATACAGTGCATTAACAGAGTTATGTCAAGAAATTTTAAAAATGAAGAAAGGGAATACATCTAAAAGACTTTCCTTGGCTGATATCCCATTTCTAAGACACTATGTCACATTTGGATGATGTCAATGACACATTGAAGTATCTCAGAGACGCAATACGTGTTCCATGTGTTCTGTTGAACTTGTGGTCGAGAGTCAAAGCCTATCCCCTATTAATTGAGATTACAAGAGCAGGCTCTAATTGGGAATCAAATACTATCAATCCCAAGCAAATGTTATTTTAGAGCCATCAGATTGCCCTTTTTTACTCTTGGTATATCTCAAACCATTGGTGATTCACTTTTACTAGCACTGGCAGGGGCGGATCCAGTAATTTTTGATTGGGGGGGGTCCAAACTTTGGTTCAGAAAAGACTGTTGGACCTTTGAGGCAAATTACTTCTCCTCCACACCCCCCTCCCACCAGTCGCTGTTGCACGTTATAATTCCTTGGCCGCTTCAGTACCGTTTACTTGGATTCATTAAAAAATATCAGCCAGTTAAAAAGTGATATACGATCCCGTCGATGTAAGAATTTCAGTTTCAAAGTTGTAAGCGTCAGGTCTGTTAGGGGGGGTCCGGATCCCCCGGACCCTCCCCCTGGATCCGCCACTGACTGGCACAGTTGAAAGTCTTTTGCTCACAATGTCATCAAGCCCTATTCGTCTTATTCTGTTCCAAAAGCAGCTATCATTTTATGAAAAGCTACCAAAAGAAAATCTGCAAAATGGTGGCCAATCTGTGTTTGTTAGACCTGGGCAAGAGTGCATGATGTAGAAGGTAAGAATCAATCTTGTAAAAAGAAAGCAACCAGCAGTTTGTGTCAATTTTATAAATTTCGTACAAGTTCTTCATTAAAGAATTTAAATGTACAATACATTCAATCATAACCAAATATGGTAAAAAAACTGCTAATTCCGAGTATATCAAAATTTTTGTCAAGAAGTCATGCCTTCCTGGACAAGTGTAAATGATTATATACTCCTGAATTGATGATGATCACTGCACAAAAATTTCCATGACATTTTCTGTTACTGAAAATTAATATTTTGATTAAGTGTGGTGAAGAGAACTGGAGAGGAAAAATCATGTTCACACAAAATCACAACCTTATAAAACATGGAACATTCATAAATAAGAAAATATTAGTAACTAAAATGAAAAATTGCCATAGAAATACAGCTCAGATTTGTGAAAGTTGAAAGCATGCATCGCATTTAGTATACTCCAACAGTAGATTAGGGATTTCAGTTCTATCACTCACCAAGTCCTCTGCCTGTAAAAGAGCTAATGAACGACCAACTTTCAACACTGAAAGAAAAGCCAAGGAAACTATTGCCCTATCTTCAGCTTTATCACAAACATCTTTAAGTTCTTTCAAAATTGAGGTTAGATATTCTGGAAACAACTTGAGTACACATGGCAGCCAATACAAGCATGCATTCTTCTGCAGTAACCTACAATAAATACAAACAAGTCTCAGCCTAAATTGATTAAAACACTTCAAGGGAGAAACATAACAGAGTGATACATGTCACTTCACTATTGCTGCTGATCAAATTAATTGTGCTCACATAAATGTAACAAAAACTGCACAGTCAAGTATTTTAATTAAGTTTAGCCATATGTAAATTCTAATTAGATAACTATCAATAACATGCATGTGAAAATGATTACTCTGGGTCATATTTTGATCTATTTAGCTAAATTCTTCATGTGCACTATAATGACTGATGGCTTATGAAATTTACGTGTATTGAGGGGCAAATGGGCATGCACAATAAGAAGTTTACACTCAGACTAAGCTTGTTCATGCATTAATATATTCTCACCTGCTTTGTGGTTGCTTAAGGTTTAACAATCATAATAATTATGACCAAAAGTTGGCCATAACACATTTGCAACTGTGGCAAGTCCATCAATTTTCAAAGTTGGAAAACTATTGTTTACTTTTTTAAATACAAAGGAAAGGAGGGGGATGTACCGGTAATTGTTATTGGAAATTGTCAATCTTAAATGAACAAACCTGTTTTTATTTGTCAAGGCAAGAAATAATTTTGCTCTCCAATGTTTCTCCCAATTTTGCATGAATACAGACACATCCTGGAAAATATCAGAAAACTTACTTGAAGAGGAAGTATATGGTAACATTCTACACCTCCACTGACCAACAATGTTTACATCTCTGTACACCAGACTGATACTGAACAATGCAAGGACTAAAGCAGTGTCAGTTGCCAGGGGACTAATCATGATTTGGAATGTTTCTGATGCACAATATAATGTACACAACTGAGTTTACAGATACACTAATTTTACCAATTTTATTTGAGCTGCAGCAAAAATATCTTCCATGAAAATGATCCCTTGAATGCATTTCCTCAACTCTTTCTTCAACTGAAGGATTTGTGAGTAAGTTCTTTAGGAGAAAAATTTATTGCACTTGAAAAGTCACTTTTCTTCCTCTGTATCTATCCTAGGAGCCATTGTTACCTAATTCTGTCTAGAATTGTATCTGACAGGTTTTTAATGTCAGACCATTACACTTGTTTTCTATGTTGACTGTGGTCAATGGCTGAGCACAGAACAACAGGTTTGCTTGCTGTGCACTTTAATTTTTCCTGGAAAGGATTCCAATTTCACAGCCATAGTATCAAGACACAAGAATTTCTATTGAATGGTGAAACAATGCTTGTGCTCTCATCATCTCCTGACCTATCCATCTCAATCCTTTTCCCAAGTATCAATCGTGAAATGTGAGAGCCAACAAAGGGTACTCTAGGTCTTAAGGAACTAAAGACTTTCGTGCCTGAAAACTTTTGTGCTTCTCCACTAGGTCTTTACACCAAAAAAAGAAAGCCTACTTAAAGTTTAGGTATAGATTATAGTGTACTGTACTTAAACAAGCATGGCATGTGAAGAAGAGAAACTCTACCTTTTGAGGGAGCGGCTCATTTGCTAAACTCTTTCTGTAGAAATTAATGTGATATGCAACTCCTCATAACATAAAATGTTAAACTAAAATGTTAATAAATGTTACTAGAATGTTATGATTTTAGAAATTTCTCTGTTGTTCAGCTCTGAAATTATACTAAAACAATTATTCGCCTCAGGTTCAGTGAATATTGTCGAATAATCCCCTCGACTTCGTCTTGGGGATTATTCTACGATATTCACCCCGCCTTCGGTGAATAATTGTTAAATATAATTGTGTACTAAAGGTTTTATAGAGAAAATACTGTAGCACTTATCAGTTATCAGTGTACTTGCTTATTACAAACAGAAAACAACACAGCCAGTGAATAACTTATACCTACATGTAAAATGAGTGGTAAATGGCACCATGAAAATCATGCTATCATGAGTCTTGCAAACTTTCCATCCCATCTCAAAATCCCCTTTGCTTTTACAATGAGTCTCAGAGTCTTCATATTTAAAGTCCATTATTCAATTAAAATTTTGCTCATAAAATTTCTTATTCGTCAACTTCCAGGGTTCTAGAAGTCTTCGATTTGTTCTTATAACAAGGGGTCTAAAGAATACTTGTAAGATTCCTTGTGTGGAAATTTGAATGATGTCTTGTTTTACCCAGTACTTAAATATACTTGTGAACTCTTATCTTTTGAATGTGTCAGTGTTGGTATTATGAGATAGTTAGTTTTATCAACTGACTTTTATTTGGTCACCATAAAAAGTTTCTAAGGCTAACACTGAGCTGAAACTCAAAACACTATCTTTTAGAAACTCTTACCTCCCCTTTTCAAGAAAAGCCTTGAAAGCACTGGTGGAGACAGAGGTTAGCTGATTTAATCCCAAGCAGTGAATCAGGTCATCTAAGATGGCAGGGTGAGCTTGAAAAATCTAGAGACAAAATACACATACAAACATGGTTTTACAAAACTAAAATAAAATAACAAAAAAGGCAATAGGAAATCTTAATTAAGTTCAATCTGGACTACTTCACAGAACCCTTGAAAGAATATATGAAATAAACTGTAAGCAATATTACTGCAGTATATAGAGGAATGCTTACACATGCAAAAGCTATGTTTTGGGTTTGTGTGGGACTCTTGGACATCCATGCATTCTTGTCATACTACCCAAATTGATGAGGATCAAAGCATATCTAAAACTCCACTTTATCTTCAATTTGGTGATGTCAGTTCTTCAAATTGGTGAAAATACATCAAATAAAGAGAAGAGGATCATATTTCATAGGCTTTCTTCTAGGCATAACTAGACACTCTTCCGTTGCCAATGTACACTTAAGTGTGAAACGTGATAAAATTTACAAAATGTAAGTTGTTTACAGACACAAGGAGGGACAAGGTATAAGGCAGCCAAAAGTGGATTTGACATAAAAGGTCATAGCATGTACAGAATGTGTGGAAAGTTGGCAAACAATGGCATTTTGATGTAAGTCTTCTTCAGTGGCTAGGATATGGCGGTAATTGAAAGAGTAAGGTTATCAGTTATCATTGAGCAACCTCCATGCATTCAGCTCACATGTTGGTTATATGTTCAGGTTTTTAATGTCAGACCATTACACTTGTTTTCTATGTTGACTGTGGTCAATGGCTGAGCACAGAACAACAGGTTTGCTTGCTGTGCACTTTAATTTTTCCTGGAAAGGATTCCAATTTCACAGCCATAGTATCAAGACACAAGAATTTCTATTGAATGGTGAAACAATGCTTGTGCTCTCATCATCTCCTGACCTATCCATCTCAATCCTTTTCCCAAGTATCAATCTTGAAATGTGAGAGCCAACAAAGGGTACTCTACGTCTTAAGGAACTAAAGACTTTTGTGCTTGAAAACTTTTGTGCTTCTCCACTAGGTCTTTACACCAAAAAAAGAAAGCCTACTTAAAGTTTAGGTATAGATTATAGTGTACTGTACTTAAACATGTACAGAATGTGTGGAAAGTTGGCAAACAATGGCATTTTGATGTGAGCCTTCTTCAGTGGCTAGGATATGGCGGTAATTGAAAGAGTAAGGTTATCAGTTATCATTGAGCAACCTCCATGCATTCAGCTCACATGTTGGTTATATGTTCATTTAATTTCCTATCTTATCATACCACAATCTTTTTTGCAAATCTCAAAGATTGGTTCAATTTGTTCCAAGACCAAGACTTTTTATGCTGTGCTTAATTCTGAGGAGATGGAACAGAGAGCTCTTTCTTAGGACTGTATTATATGTCACTGACGACTTCGATAAACTCTTGGAGAATCAAGGCTTCCCAGGCTGATCATTTTCTTTAAATTTTTTTAAGAGGAAAACATGTGTCATAAATCTGAGAAAATATAGAATAAAGCTATCATCATAACACATTTTTGGATCATTCTATCCAGGTATTCAATACCAGTCAATACTGTCAGTTGTTGGATAAATTTGATAGAGTTTGCTTTTTATTACACACAAATATGGCTTCTCTAGTCCTGCCAGTGTGGATGTTATCAGAACAAATGGAAAATATGGTAAAATTTCACTTAATGATAAGCCAGTTTGATATCTGTGTTGAAAGTAGTTGGTAAACATAATGTCAAGAAAAGTTGCTGTGTGTGGTGTTATATCCTAGATGGTAACAATATCAAGGGCAAGAAATTTAAAAAATGATGCCCATTCTTCCAAAACTTCTCCTGCAGAATTACGAAGTATTTATTTTGGCCATTACTTACATTGAGATCGAAAGCATACTTTCATTTCTTTTACCAAGACTTAAACTTTCACTTCAGTGAAATTGTTCACAAAGGATTGAAACTTTGGTTTGGTGGTCCATAAATTAAATTACACCCACTATAATTTAAGGTTCCCATACAGTGTAGATCAACTTACATTCTGGAGCTCTACATAATGGACAAGGGAGCAGAGCAATCCATATCTTCCCTTTACATGCCAAGGAAGTCCTAGAATCTTGTTCATCAGTGATCTGTACAACTGGACAAAATAAAAAACAGAATTTGAATCTTACCATTGAAATTATTAGACACTTTTTTTGTATACTGTATTTTATTCTGGGGTTCACATCAGATACAGTTGAGACAGGTGTCACCAAAACTCAGACCTTGCAAACTCAGACATCAGACCCCCACAAAACTCTAATCCCTGGGCATCTCAAAAACCCAGGCCACTAAAGTTTCTCAGAAACAGAGACCCCTGACATCACAGCTTACATTGCTTTGGACCTTTTAAGTGTAAAGAAATGAGGAAATCACCAAATTTAATAGGCTTTCATTCCTGAAATGAAATAAAATGCTTCCACAACTTCTGAAAGAGTAAGGTACATTTATATTAAGGAAATATGGTTGTAGTGCAATAGTTGTCCTAACACAATCCTTCAGAAATTTTGCAAGTATTTCAATTGATGAGGAAAATCAGGAAAATAAGGTCTGAGTTTTCCAGACACCCAGAGGTTTGAGTTAATATTTTTTTTAAAGTGGGGTGGGGTGGGAGTTAGGGGGGTCTAAGGTCTGAGTTTTTTAGGTGTTGTTTTTTATGGAACCTAGTTCAGAGGCCTAATTACTTGCTCATCCACTGAGTCTCTTGCAATCTCTTCCTCTTTGTGCCATTGGAGAAAGAGATCAAACAATGTCACAGCCAAGCTTGGAACACCTTCAATCTGAAATTTATAAATGAAATAAAAGAGGTAAAGACAAAAATAATGAAAATGCTAACTTTTTATATTAGTGTGAATGGAAAACAAGTTAAGAATGCAACTTCTCAAAAATGGTGAAGTCAACATAAAGATGTAACTGATATTTTAAAGTGACTACTTCATAAAGAAGAACCTTAACTTGGAGAAGCTGTAACTTACAGAATCTTCCAAGTTCTCCCAAATAAGACCAATGAGATCCCGGGTAAGGTGTGAATCCAATTTTGTCCTCCAGTGCACACTTTTGTATAATTGTTTCCTTTTTAAAAGAGCTTTAATGCAAACAAGCCACTGCTTCATGGCTGCAATGAATTAAAAAGATAAATATTTTCAAATCACAGGAAGATATCTACTGTAACAGTAAATTTATCTTGCAAGGAGCTTACATCATAGAAATGCAGAGCTTTCCAGATAACCCCTAACTTTTCAGAGCTTCAGAAAGAGTAACATCTACCTTAAGGAAACCCATTTTAACTAGTTCAATTAAAGGCCAGAAACATTCCTCTCTAACAAAGCTAAAATGACCAGAAAGTAAGAAAATAATGGGAATCAATCCCTATGGTTAGCCTCAAGTTTGTATTGTACATCCATTTGGTCATGTTGTTCTTTACATAATCAATTTACAAATTTCTAGCAATTTTAAAGGTGTGGGTCAATTAGAGAGTTCAGGAAGGGGTTGAGGGAAGGCATTTTAACAAAGGTTTGCAATGAGGTTCTCCTTTATTCTGTATGGCAATAAACTGAATATATTCATTTACCAACATGAAATTTCTTTTTCAGCCAATAAATCATTGTGACCGAATATCATAACAAGGTCAGTCTCCAGGAATTGTGCAATAAAGTCTACATTCTAGATGCGAACTCACAACTGAGTTGATTGTCAAACAGCAGTTTAACATCACATTGCACAAAACTCAGGGCTAACATAAAGCATCTCTAAACCTTAACTTTATGTAAATGGTAAATTACTCAAATTAAGTGCACATTACTTTGTCATCCCCCACAATAATTATTATTATTACACGTACATTACAAAAAGGGTCTAACAAAGCTGGATACTACTTTAAAAATTTTGGGAGAAATGGCCATTTTGGAATGAAAAGTGACAGTATATCTTGATCAACACCTCTGGTCAAGAAGTAAACTGGTGAATTACCATGGACACTTCTCTATAACATTGGATTGACTTATTATTCATAAAGTTCAACATAACTATAATTGTAACCTGACCAAGTAGTCAGAGCAATGACTTACATGACTTTGTACAGCTTTCCTTTCTGTCTTGTACTCACAAAATTTAATGTAATATATTAATTAGTTAAATTATATGTACCTTCAAAAGCAACATAATGAACAGGTGAGCTTTTGCTCTCTTTACAAAGCCTGTATATTGACTGAAATAGAGGCCCCTCCATCAAAGTAACACCCTCTTGATCTTCTATCTGAAAAAATCAAAACAGAGAGGTTCTACTAGTTGAATATGATTTAAATCACAATGGCTCTCCCTAGAGTATTTACACTACATTCACATCCAGATCTCGTGCAGTCAAAAACCCATGGAGCATCCTTAAACTATATGCATATTATTATTCCACCCTTATGCCACTTCACTGTATCATAAGATAGCAAGCGGATGAAATCATGGATTATCTTTGCTTAGGATAAATTGAAAACATTTTCACCATTCAAGGAAGAAACAAGGATTTATCCTCACATATTTGAACAAACAACCCAAAATCTGAAGCATTAATAGTAATAATTACTATCACCATTGCCAGAGGTAGAAATAAAATGGGAGGTTCATCTAAAGCAAAGAAAACAATTAACAATCATTTTAGACAAAAAGTAACAGCCAACTAGTGCATCACCTCAAGCAGTATCTGTTCTCTCTGTGATTTAATGATACCAACTAGAATGGCTAACTGTGTGATGGGTTTGTATGCAGGCAATGGCAGATTCACTTTGAAACATCCAATCAGCACTGAGTGAAGTTGGTGTACAGCTTGGTTCTGTGGAAGAGATGCTCCTATGCAAAAAAATGTAAACATAAAATTCAATTAGATGTCTAGCATTTTGGTTAGCATTTTAGTTTATTCCAGTTCAGGCAGAAACAAATTTGAACCTCAGACTGGATCAGCTTAGATTGTCTATCCGCTTGTATAATTAATGCAGATTTAGAAGTGCTGTGTATCTCAGATTTGTCAAGTGTCTATTTTTGTAACACTTTTCCTTAAAGCATCGGCACAAAGGAGGCTAGAAAATGTATATAGTGTCTATAGTGTATAATGTTTGTAGTGTCTGCTTAACTTTATACAGATGATTCTTACCTATACGTGCAGTACCTTTACATAATATCTGCATTTGACTATTTATTTAACACTCAAAAAAACCAACCAAACTGGGATTACACTTCAACTTCCTGACAAGCAAGACATTCAAAAAAAATTTTGGGGAAAGATAAAGAAGAATTTACCATTTTACTGGATTGTATTCAAAGTTTGTATGTTATGCTTTTGATGGACCTTGTTTTGTTCCAGAAAATCTCCTTAATCTCCTTAGTCCCCACAGTTTATAAAGGCTGGTCTTGCACTATAACCCTCCAAAATTTATAATCATTCTCCAGCACACATATATCCTCCTTCCTCAAATTTCCAACTGGTTTTGGGTATATTACATATTTTGATACTTAAAATGTTAACAATCTAAAAAAGCAAATACAAATGAATTGACCTCATTGTCTCAGAAAATGTTTTTGCAAACACTTTTCATCACACATTTGTGCTTCAATTGCTATCCTGATCAGTGACCAAGTCCTTGGTGAGAAAAATGTTCAAACAGTTGTTTACTAATACAAATTTTTTCAATTTTTCATTACGCATTTCATACGTATTGCTGGGAATCTATGTAAAATTTTCTTAGCTCATGTATGGATGTGGAGCATAAGACTCTCAAAGTTAATTCTCATCGGCTTCTCAAAACTTTTTCCCAAAAATATCAACTTTCAAAAAACATCATAAATTAGCTCTTCTGTGCTAATGTTTACAAACATATAACATAAATGAAATCAAAGCAACTGACCAAAATAAAAGATACCAGTAGGCCTAGTAATATGAGTCATCTGCCTGCAAATGCAATATGGTGTCTGTTTCTTGTGACTGAAAGCAAAACCTCCTTAAGTTTTCTGCACTCAGGAACTTCACCACAACCCAGAACCTAATTCAAGTTTCATTGACATGTACAAACTGTATCTTGTCTTCTTGCACAACATATGCGAACACAACCATAGAGAGTACCTACCTGATGCAATTAGTAACTGTAAAATGGTTTGTTTGGTACAAATATTTTGATCAGCAACTATGCTTAGGAATAGGCCAGTTGCTGTTCCACATAAATATATACATTCCTTGGGCTGGGTCTTGAAAATATAAGAAATCAAAAACATCAATAAAAAAATAATGGAGTGCAGAATATAGACTAAGTAGAAGGATAGGCATGGACTACTGCATCTGAAAAACCTTTGTAATTAATTTTTTAGATGATTTCCCTAAAAAGTGTCATACTTTATAATATTTATCATTTATTGCTTGTGAGCAGCTCCTTTGAAAAAGCCTTTTTGTACTGTTCTTTAAAGTAAGAAACATGCAGAATAGCATCCTGGTGTTACCAGTAACACCAATTCTAGCAATGAGATGAGAGGTCCATGGGTCTCAAATAAAAAAATACATGTCCTTATATAAAAAGGGGTACTTGTTTTAAATTCAACATTCAATAACATCATTTTACTTTGAAAGATGAGGTGAACGCAATGACACATCCATTTTCAATCATCACTAAATAAGTGACAAATTTGGATATTTTTCTTTCCTGTACTTTTTTTTGTTAAGCCTGTAGTTAGTGCTTTAATTTGAATTTGCCTGTGTAACAAAAATAATTGTTTATCCCTTCCATCAAGTAACCTTGTACTTTACCATACATGTAAACATCAGTATATATTTTGTTAAACCGCCTCTGTTTCTGTGGATACTACTATCAATTAAATAATGAACAACATACAATACACTGTATTCACAGAAGTTTCTAATGACCCTCATATAGTACACTAAATTTTTTAGTTAAAAAAAGTTCCAATGTGATTCACCATGTAAACCAGTTAAAACACTGTTACTCAACATTACTATAAGTGGTTACGATTTTCTAATTGAATAAAAAAGTGCAACTGGTTAAAATGGTCGAATTCGATTAAAGGTTCAAACAGTAAAATAAGGTTCAAATGTTTGAAAAGGTTAAAAAGGCTAAAAATTGGTCAATATGGTCTAAATGGATAAAAATATAATCCAACTGGTTGAAACCTTCCAACAACACAAAAGGGTCCCATTGGTTATATAATGGTCTTGCTAAATAGAGTGGCTCAACTAAAATGTTCTGACTACACAAAATGGTCCCATTGGTAATATATGGTCTTGCTAGATAGAGTGGCCCAACTACAATGTTCCAACTACACAAAATGGTCCCATTGGCAACATAATTATGGTCTTGCTAGATTGAGTGGCCCAACTAAAATGTTCCAATTACACAAAATGGTCCCATTGGTAATATATGGTCTTGCTAGATTGAGTGGTTCAACTAGTTAAAAGTTTTAACTGGTGAAAATGGACTAATTACATTGTAATAATACGAGAGACAACAAGAGACAAGGATAAGAAAGC